TAAACCCTAAACCCTAAACCCCTAAACCCTAAACCCATTATAGTAGTTTCCATTTTCTTTTCCATTATCCCCTATAACCCCCCTTTAAGGAGTTTAGACTATGGCTCATATGGTCCTGTAAGCTACTACAGGAGGGCATGCCATGCTTCTGGTAGGAAAATGGATGCAGAACACAAGGGTTTAGGGTTTAGGGTCTGCCTCGCCCCCATAGCCTGCCAGTTGGTCAGAAATGCGGAAAGGATTCGTATCAGAGATTGAGCCTGGATTGCTGTGCAGATCCACCGCCCCATGTCGAAGAGCAGCCGTGAGAACCCAAGAACACCCCGATATCCAAGCCATAAACTCCAGCGCAACCCGAAAATCTCTAAACCCTATACTTTACTGTAAGCCCTACACCCTGCAACCCTCAACGCTAAATGAGCTATAGTCCAAACACCTAGCATCTATAAAAAGCAGTTTCCATGTTTTTTCGCCACGATTGGGGATGATATTCCTAAACCCTGAACCCTAAAACTTAAACCTTAAATAGTAGCTTCCATTTCCTTTTCCATTATCCCTGGTTCTCGAATATCCTGGCCTGTCAACAGTGCTGTCTACCTCACTCTGGCGGTCACACGCCTGTGGGGAGGCTTTAAGGTCCTAGGTATAGGTTTTTAGGGGCTGAGGATGTAGGATGTAGGCTTTCGGGTTTTACGCTTTAGATGTAGGCTTTAGTGGCTTTAGGGTTTAGGGTTGAAGGCGTAATCCGAAATTGGGATCGAAGGCTTTTGCTTCAGGTTCTCTGCTGAAGGCTCTAAGGCTTTGGGGTTCACAGTTTAGGGATCGTCTCCACAGTTGAGAGCAAGCATCCGGTTGGATCTGCAGGCGGGGTACCCCCATATAAGACTCATGCCTATATGATGTCTGTATAGGCCTCCTTTAAGAGAAGGCTAGGTCTCAGGATTTAGACCCTGGAGTTAGGCAACGTACTAGATCCCCTTACTCAGGCAAGTATAACCTTGTTGTAACACTCGAAAAGTAATTGCCCTAACACGGAAGTAACCCCAAGGTACACCAAGTAGACCCTCCCCATAACTCACTATAACACGGTTTAAACGGACCTATAACACCTTTTAAAGGGACCTACCGGCAACCCTAGGGTCCACAAAGTAAGCCGCCTCGAGAAGTTGCCCATAGTTCGACGACGCGGAGGTCTCACCCAGTGTCACTGTGGGCTTGGGCCCTTCGGCACGGCTCGGGGTTGGGTCAATTTAGAAAAACCATAGTAGGGATATCTTCTACGGGACCTATGATGATGGTGATGGCGATGATGACGATGATGATGATGATGATGATGATGTCATGAGGGAATGAATGACAATCATGAACGCTTGCTTGGAGAAGTAGAGATCTGGGGCTAGGGATGTTGGCACTTTGTTCTTACAAGGTTTGGCGACTGTTGATAATCTAGCAGGTTTGGGTGCAGGAGTTAGCTGAACCACCTATATACTCCCCTAACCCTCATGTTAAAATTTATGGCGGGTTGAGTTTTTAACGTCAGGGGCAGTGGATTACCTCAATTCTGAAAACGATCCTTGGCAAAAGTGCTCCAAAACTACGGCCCAAGAGGCATGTAGATCCGGGGAATCAAAATACTTTGAAGGCCCCTAGATGGTGGAAGATTCCTTCAACAAAGGGTTTTAGGATTTTAGGGTTTTAGGGTTTTAAGGTTTTAGTGTTTCGGGTTTAGGGTTTCAGGGTTTTAGGGTTTTAGGGTTTTAGGGTTTAGGGCCTTAGGGTTTTAGGGTTTAGGGTGTAGGGCGTAAGGTGCAGGGTTTAGGGTACCCCCGTTCCATGAAGAAAGGACCCTGGCCATAGGCTCTTACCCCCCAAGATCCTAATCGCAAGTCCTTAGCTTCAACTCCCCCCTATGACAAGCCCCGAAACCCATACCTTAAGCCCTAAACCCTAGATCCTGAGCCTAAGCGCTATTCCCTAATCCCTACACCGTAGATCCTAAACTAACCCTGTACCCTAAGCCTTAAACCTCGACCCTAAGCCCGAAACCCTAGACATCATAAGCACTAAGCCCTAAACCCTAACCCAGAAACCTCTAAACCAGAGACCCTAGACCTAAACTCCTAAACCCACTTTCAGCCTTCTTGGCAGCCAGTCATGCTGTAAACCAAACAGCCCAGGCAAAAGAAGCCAAAGCCCAGGAAGGATCCCTGGAAGGTCTGGTCATTGTACCTCAGGGTTTAGGGTTTAGGGTTTAGGGCTGAAGGGCCTAGAATTCCAGGTTTAAGGTCGAGGGTTTTGGGTTGAGGGTTAATGAATAAACCTTATGGTTGAGGGGTGTAAGGTTCAGCGTTTAGGGTTTCAGGTTTAGGATTAGGGTTTAGGGTTCTGGCTTTTCAGGAGGGATCCTTAATGGGAACCCCTGTAGCTTACGGCGGATATTATGGGGACCACCTGTCACACAGGGGATAGAAGCAGTACGTCAGGGTTTTATAAGGTGACGGGACTAGGCGTTCCCTTCTAGGGGTAAACCCTAAACCCTAAACCCTAAACCTAAACCCTAAACCCTAAACCCCGCTTCCGAGCCCTTGAGTACCTTGAGGTTGAATTGCTTTAAAAACTGGAAACCACCGCACTTTTCATGTCTTCGTTCGGATTTAGGACTTGGGGTTCAGAACGTGGGGTTTAGCAGTTAGGGTTTGGGACAGAGGGTTTAGGATGTAGGGTTTGGGGTGTTGAGTTCAAGTTTCGGGCAGTTAGGGTTTAGGGCAGCATCTTCACTTCACTCACTCATGCTTGGATGGAAATGGGGATGTGGATCTGATTTTGTAATCCTGCTTGGTCAGGGGAAAGAAAGTATGCGTATAACCCTCTCGACGACATACAATTATCCAAGCTATTCCCCTTCTTGAGCGTTTTACCAAATGCCTAACCCCAAACCCTGAAGCCTAGACCGGGAAACCTACATGATATATGTAGTACTGTCTAGTGTCTTTTCCCAGCTATATCATCCCCAGCTTGCGTTTATGCGGTGAAGGGTTTAGGGCTAAGGATTCAGGGTTAATTGTTTGGGGTTGAGGGTTTGGGGTTTAGGGTTTAGGGTCGGGTGGTTTAGGGTTTAGGGTTGGGTTCACTGAGTTCTCAAGCCTGAGATAGCTCCAATCTCGGATCACAGTTTTTGACCACTGTTTGAGCTATAGTCTAAACTCCTAGCACCCCCCTTAATAAGCCCCAGTATAGTCCCCGATGTAATCCCCTATATAACCCTATATAACCCTCTTTAAGGAGTTTAGACTACAGCTCCTTAGGGTTGAGGTCAGGTGAGCTCAGTATAGCTTTCCCAGGTTTAGATTTCGGGGTTCAAGATGTAAGCTTCGTTCAAGGTCCATGGTTTGGAGTGCGATCCAGAAAGCACGCAAGCTCTGTTACGATGCTACAGCGCCTACTTTGGGGCACAACCCAGGTCAGGTAAGGGTTTATGGTTTAGGTTTTAGGGTTTAGAGTTTGGGGTTCAGGCTTTAAGGGATTGTAATAGTACCCCCCCACCCCCCCCCCAAAGGTACCCGCCCCCAAGGCCCCCCAAATTTAAGGAGTCATTATAATCCTTTAGGTCATGGGCACATCGGTTTCTAGGTCTATGGGGTTGGCATTTGGGTCTACGAGATACCCTCATCCCTGATCTCTTCTGGCTCTGGGGCCTACCAAAAGGAGAGGGAATCTACCCAGAAATGGTTACAAAGGGGTCAATATATGGCTATTCACAGGATCCAGTAGATTACGTATCTCCAGAATCCCCTAAAGTAAATCTGATAAACATGCGTTCAATTGTTCGAGGACACCTTTTTTTGTGGGTAGTTACCAAAGGAGTAATGGGCTATATGAGGTCTACCTAGACCTCCCTGAATGGTCCCCGCCTGATAACTAAACCACCTCCAAGTTTCCTAAACCTTAAAGCCTAAACTTTGGGGAACTTGGAACCATAGGAAAAATTACAATGTTCGCTGTTCCTTGGGATTATAATAAGCAAAAAGTAAAAAGTATTTTCAAGTACCCTAAGTAAACCCTAAACCCTTTGCTTGATTTCGGGTTGTAAGTTGAAGCAGAGCTTGGGGCAGCTGTTTGCTTTAAAAATACTGGGCTGAAGTTCCATGACCTAACACAAGTTACCACAATCGCGAAACTCTAGGATTTGCTACCTATCTACATTCTGTAACAGGCTTGCTATGTATCTACATCATGTAACTCAACTTAAGATCCCTAACAGCATGCCTTAAACCCTAAACCCCCTTAAACC